GTTGCAAACAAGCTAGATCCTTTATGACTGGCAAAACAAGCAACAGTTACATATAGAATACTTCACAATTTGATTTGACTATAGTTAGAGCAGTAACATTCAGGCAGTTCATTTTACCTATTTTGGGGATGATGAGTTGAGTTCCCTTGAGACCTTCAAGCAGCTGCAATGCTTTTCTTGATTCTTTGTTCAGTAGAGTAGTAGTGTCCACCAGCATACTCCATTTTCGGGTTTTTTCTCCAAAGCATTTGTTTGGTATATCAGTCTAAAGTATCAGGAATAAACAATTAAAGTGTTACTTAAATAATAAAATTACAATAAAAAGAGATCCAAGGAAGAAAAAAAATAAGGGAACACAGCATTTGCCAACCTTGCTTGAGACTTTAGCAGCACCAGGAATGCAAGTTTCAGATTTACTATTCTGAGGGGAGTCTGCCAGAAGGGATTGAAAAGGCATCCTTTGATGTTTTTTCTCCCTTAGCCTAAATGATTTTGCTTGATTAGAAGAAGCACGGTGTGCTGTTTTCTTCTCCAGAGATTTTTTGGGCGAGTAATTCTCTTTATCTGATGAAGGAGACAAGCTGTCCTCATAGTAGAATTTTGGGCTTCCAATCATCTTTAAAAGGGGTGATTTCCCTGAGCTTGAATTTTTTACTTCTTTCAACATAGCCAACTTTCTCATGGACTTGTGAGTGTTAGGGGTAAAGTTCTCTTTGTCTGGAGTAAAGACTTCTTCCTCTTCTTGGCTTTCCAATTCATGGAAGAGAGCCCTAGTAACAGGTTCATGCTTGACATTCTTCTGATCACCTCTCTTTTTATTTCTTTCAGACATGCTTGTTGAAATCTGGGGAGAATTTTGTAATTTACCTCTTCGGGACCAAATGCTACTTGCAGACTTCTGATCTGATGTTATCAAAGGACTACCAAATGGCCTTTTAATAGAGCTGAGTGGTGGACTATCAAAGCCATTTCTCGATGATTTGTTTTCGAACTCTGATAAGAAGCTTGCATCAGACAATGATGAACACACTGAAGACTCCACCCCCATATTTCCAGACCAAAAACTCCAAAGCTTGCCTTCATTGTGTTCCTTGACTGATGAATTCACATCGACACTTTCCAAAGATTTCCTTTCAGAAAATACTCTAGTATCAGATACTATTTCTGGGAGCTGCTTTTCTGTATCAAGGTGATTGTTGTCAGTGCAAAGAAGAGCCTCATTAGTGGCAAGAGGTGATGTTAGCGCTGCAGGTGATCCACACCAGAAAGTCCACACTTCTTCTGTGTTTGGAGCAACTTGCTCTCCAACCAATTTATCATCATCACATAGAACACTGAACTCCACATCCTTTGAAGCAGATTCAACTGCAAGTACCTCTTCATTTTCCTTTCCTTGAGGATCCTCATCCTAAAATACTCAATTGACATGATGAACATAAAATCAGCAACTATATGAAGGAAAATGTATTGAACGAAGACCATAAAATGTCCTAAAATAGGCTTATACTATATATTACCAATGTTATGAAGAATAATAATAGTAATAAAACTCATTGCGTTTCTCGATTTCATAGTCATCTATCACCCACAAACAATCAATAACATAGAAAGATAAAATAAGTTAAGTAGTGCAAATCGTCTCACCTTGACAATCTCTTTATCCTCATCTTTCTGCATAAGCTGTTCAGTGATATCGTCCAAAAACAAGGTATCCAAGCCCTCCAAAACAGAACTAACAGATCCTATGTCTTCAAGCTTCACTGACTGAGAATATTCTTCTTCCATGGGACATGCGATATACTTCACTTCCTGCCCAACCCATTCCCAGTTCTCACCCAGAAATAAAGGCACCAAACCTTCCAAAGCAGAATCCAAAGGTTGCACATTTTCACTACCCACTAATTCCTGTGCAAACATTTGAGATTTTTCATCCAGAAATAGAGACATCAAGCCTTCCATATCAGGGTCTTCCAATCCAACACACTCATTGTCCACTGCCATAACATTTTCGTCTGTGTTTTGAGCAACTTTCTCTATATCCAATCCATCATCATCACACAAATCACCAAACTCTAGACCCTTTGAAACAGAATCAACTGCTAGTAGCTCCTCATTTTCATGTCCTAGTGAATTCTCATCCTAAAAAATCCAATTGACAAAACAAAGTCAAGAACTACATCTAGGTAGGATAAAAGAAAGCATAATTTAGATGTCCAATTCCAACTAGGCAAATAACATTATATGATTAATATCCAATGTCACAACAGACAATCACATTAAATTTCATTGCATATCTCAATTTCATCTAGTCATCTATCACCAACAAACAATCAATAACCTTATACATACTAAAATAGATAAGGAGAGCAATTTATCTCACCTTGATGATCCCTTCATCCTCGTCTTCTTGCGACTGCACGAAGTCCAAGGGTGGCACAAAAGGGTTGGAAACATCATAAGCTTGGCTCAATGGAATCCAGTGCAATTTGTAAACCCTACTTGATCCTCCAATCCTCAAACTATCACTCTCATTCATCCTTGTTCTTATATTTGGTTCTATCCTTTTATCTGACACCCAAGTTCCATGCACTAAACAGAAACACCAAAATTGCATTAAAAATCAAAACCCACATTATTCTTAAACCCTAAACCTTACAGATTTTTTTTTTTTTTAAAAATACAATGAAATAAACATAGAAATTACAATTAATCAAAGACCCACAAAATTTTAAGGATTGGAGCTCATAAATGAAATCAGAATACCCACAAAATTTCAAGATTGTTTCCACCATAAAACTTTCATTTTTTATTTAATCGAACCTAATAACACGATTTACAGAGCAAAACCAAACAAACCCACAAAATCAACTTCAAAAATTCAAATAATACCACAACAATTCAAATAAAAAACTACAGATAAACACTATAATTAGTACTGAATTGAATCTTACAAAGTTTCAGAAGAAAAATCGATTTACCTGAAGATAAATCAGTGATTGAAAGGTGTTTGGAAGAGGGTTTAGAGTGAATGCGGACATGAAAACGGCTAATACTGGGATGTTCTAAGCGAATATCGCAATCTGGGTGTCGCCCAACAACTAATGTTTCTTCAAATTCTTGATGGGTTTTACAGAATTCATCATTTTCTTGGTGGGTTTCATTTTGATTTACAGAAGGAGGGGAGTTGATTAAGAAAATGTTCTTGAGGATAGCGTTGTTCTTCCAAACTGTGAATATTGGTATCTGTATTTCTTTCTGGTTTTCCATTGCGCCGGTGATGACGATGATCGGAAGTGGATGAGGGAGAATTTTGGGGGTTTTAAAGTAGCAAATGGGAGGGTTTTGTTGATTTCAGCTTTTTGAAATTTTAAGTTTTGAATCTTCAAAATGTGTTGGTGTATGTTGAATGTGTGTTGTAACGGATCTTTTTTTTTGTCAATGGTACATTGACTCAATTGACTGCATTCTATTGTTTCCTCTAATATATATGTACCGGTAAGGCCATAATGATTACTTATGGGCTATGATTCATATGACACTATTTAAGGATGTCACTAGGCTAAACCGTCATGACCCAATATGGAAAAATTATACTACCACCGTTACAAGTTATGTGCAACGATTTGACATAAAACAGAGAGGGAAAATGTCTAATTGTTGCACATAACCTGTAACGGAGGTAGTATATGAAGTTCATGGCATAATATATGGTAAGATAAGCACTGTACGACACATGATGAGCACTGGGATGAGTTTGAGGCGTAGTTTTTGTAAGGAGAATACAATAGTTTGACAAAACTAACAAAGCACGTTTAAATAAATTAGAATTTGGGGTAAACACAAATGTATTATTGTGGCACGTAGTGCTTAATGCTAAAGCAGCTCTTTCGAAAATATTGACACGACGCAACACGATAAGTAGAGAGTATGTTCATTTGTGGGCTAGACAAGTTAAGTACAAGTATTTTGTTTGCAATAGTTAAGTCCGTAGGTCAAATTTCAATGAAGGACAAAAAAACAATAAAGACAATAATTGAATGAAGAAATAAGATAAAAATCTCTAAAAGCACCGGATTCACAAATATATGTAAGGTAAACTATCATAAAAGAGTTGAATTTAAGACGTATGCACGTACTTAAAAAAAAAAAAAAAGGCATAAAGTGATGAATAGGGTTACAATATTTTTCCCTTAAGATTAGAAAACATACTATATATACAAAGAATATTTTAATGTTATAGGGTTACAGTCTTGTATTAGAACCATATGGCTAGCTAGCTTAGCTAGCAAATACAATTGATTTGATTTGATTTGCTAGAGTAACATAAGAATTCAATTAATAATAGTCATAATAATGTGTATGTACTTCAAGAGGGTGCGCAGTGTGTATTTACTACGTAGTAACAGGCATACATATATAGCTGCAGTTTAAACTATAAATAACACCCTTTATCACTGGATAGCCTAGTTAGTTCTGGATAGCAATATATATGTATGCAAGCTAGCCTGCCATATGATCTCCATTTCTATAGCGCAGGTGCGCATTATTGGACAAAACAGCGTATGCTATATGTTGTTTACTAGCTTTTATACCATACACATCGTTACTAGTATTCAATATGTAATAAATAATGTACCTAATCGCACATAACATTAAGAAGTTATATATAAAGTCGAATGTTACAAGGCAGGGAAATTATTGTGGTTACATATAATGCATCTTGCTAAATCTAAGCAAGAATTTTAAATTAAATTACAAGTATATATGAGCGAAAAAAAGCTTCACAACTAGTTCCTTTTGGTTTTGTGTAGCTCTTTCTTGAATTGCCTAGTTGTTACTACTAGCTAGATGTTAGCATACAAATTGAGGATTTTATGATTGAAGAGGGAAACACATTTTGTTTCCACTAGTTGGATAAGGATAACAGTTTGAGTGCCCTGCAATGCACAGAGGTGAAAGAAGACAGGCAAAGAACAAGACAAAGAGTGGTGGAGGAATGGATGGAGTATCACCAACTACCTCAACCTCTAAAGAAGCAAGCTATTCAATCTGAATGGAGTGCCACTCGAGGCGTAAATGATGAAGCAATGTTGGATTCACTTCCATGTGACACACGGTTTGAGATTCGAAGACACTTGTATCTGAAGATCACCCGCACTGTCAGTTTCTTCCTTCGTTTCTTCCTGTGCGCTGATTTTCTTCCAGTCAGCAATTAAGGTTTAATAAGGTGAAAAAAATGACTGTTTTTCATCATTCAGATGCCATTATTTGCAGATATGGATGATGTCCTTCTAAATGTAATATGTGGTTACCTCCGAACATTCACCAGCAATGAAGGTACTTATGTAGCGTTTGAGGGTGAACCAATTCACCAAATGCTGTCTATTTTCGATGGACAATTAGAGATATTGAATGCAAACAATTGTCTTGGGCCGGGAGATCTGTGCGGAAAAGAGCTGCTGGAATGGTGTTTACACACAACCACATCAACTGAGAACCTAAAACCTGCAACGCAAACAATCAAGTGTACTACTGATATTGAAGCATTTGCTTTGCGGATTGATGATGTAAAACTCCTGGCAATCCAATTTCACCATGATGGAAAATTTCGCTATGCGTTCAAACGTTATATTGCATAAGATGAGATGGTAGATACTCACTTATCACAATGGGTTGGAGTACATGGTTTTGCACGTTTCCTTCCCAATTAAAAAGCTACTGTGTTATTAGAGTATACACTAGAAATCTATACATCAGAAGAATGTATTAATGAAGTCTCTTCGGAGACATCTGAGGATAATCTTTGATGAAGTTGCATCATTCTCTCTCTCTACCTTTTTTTTTTTTTTTTGTTACAAAACTTTATTAGTTGAAAGCTAATAAAACGGAAGACATCTAAAAAGGAAGAAAAAGTAATCATCAAACAGGGGACACACACACAACCTGCAATTAGAAAATTGATGTTAGCCACAAAGGAGCTCCAGAAAGACTGGAATAGCATATAGCAATGTAGCATGCCTGCGAAAGAAAAGTGAACATTAGAGCGAAATCACATAGATCTATAAGATTATTATGTGCTTAATCCAGGTCCATAAAACCATAATGATTGGTTTAGTAAAATTTGTAGATACATCATGGACATAGGTGGTAATGATAAGGATGATAACATAGTAAATAGTATGAACTGGTACAAGGAGCTCTAATTTGAAATAATAATCAAGAAATGTATAAATCGTTTTACATAGCCAATAAAATACCCGTATCTTTCACTAACAAAGACAGGACCGTAATCTAAAAGTTCAAGAAATCATCAACCCAAAACAGAGGGTGGTTATATTTCTAAGCTGTCACTACCTATATAACAATTTCTTTAACTTGCAAACAGGCTAAATGCAAAAATTACTTGCTACAATGTAGTTCACTTGGCTGCAGATCCACACCAGAAAAAATGATAGGGGCTACTAAGCCACGACCTATAAGTCCAACACTAGTAATTCGCTTTAAAAGGTGCTTTAGATGAGCATCAAACAATAGGCCATGCTGTGATCATATACCTTGCACTAAACAAACTTTGCCTTTTCATCAACAGACGAACCTCAGTCAATTGACACTACCTTTGAATACAACTTCAATTCTCCTTCTTCTCAAGTCTTGCACGGTGTCTAAGCTCAGCCCTTTTCCACCGAACAATCAGATGGCACAATGAGAAGAGGGTATTTATCTGTAAATGGAGAAGATTAGAGAATGTTGAAGTTAATGTTATCAAGATTCGTGCAAAAAATTGGGAACATATGGAAATAAATGAAGAATACTAACCAAGATTAACATTGCAATTACAAGAAGTGGACCAGACCATAAGACAGAGAGAAAAAGCCCTTGTGGGTCAAAATAGTTCTGAGTAGCAAAACTTTCCCAATGAGCACCCAGAAACCGGTTCAATCGTTCAGCAAGATATACACCAGACACTGCAGCATGATGCCTGAATGTTAGGCGGTGCACGTATGTAACATATCTCATAAGAAGTGCATCTTATGGTCACTCTATATAAAATCCTATTTTCAACACAATATCCTCCAACGATTGTCAAAAAATTGTGACAAAATATGATATAACAAGTTGCGTGTTCAATCCTGTTAGCCCCCTTTCCTACTATCTAATACCTCAGTCCCAACAATTGACCAGTGGTGAGCAGTTATTAATACATGAATTTCCTACTGCTCAAACAGGAAAGGGAAGGGAGAAAAAAAAAAAAACCACCGCTATTCTGTGAAAAAAAATGACTACAATTAGAGTTGGAAACATACAAGCAAGAAGGAATAGGCACATTTGGAAGTTGACATGTCTCCTGGAGAAGATAATAGTTAGCAACAGAAACACATAGAATCCCAATAATCCCATCAACCACGGCTCCTGCATAGACCATTTAAGCATTAAGAAAAAAAATGAAAAGAGCATATGAGAAGATCTCGTCTATACTCTATAGTATAAGATCACAAGCACTAATGCATCTGAGATAAAAGGAATACAATGATTTAGTAAAGACATTATCTGTATATTAAACGAATAAAGAAGCAAGCAAATGCAGACAAATCACTAAATTTCACAAATTGGTAACAGGCGATTTTGAACGAGGAGCAAGCAGAAATACTGAAATAATTCTGCCTAAATAATGGGAGCACTGAAATTTACTGAGCAACATGGGTTCTCTTGCCTCTCATTCTACATTTGATACAGAATAACTTTCCAAAGATTACTCATCCTCTTTGTTTTTGTTTTTTTTTTTGAAACAACGGAGCGGGAATTATCATACTCATCCTCTTTGGTTGATCATAATAAACATTCTTAAACCAAGAATTATTATTCACTAACTGATTTCTCTAGCAAGCACACTAGATTAAAAGATACATTATTGTTGTTACTGTTGATCTAACTTGTTTATTCCCCTAATATATCTAGTTAGACCTTCAATGAACGAAAAGAAAGCGACTTTTGAGTCCTTGCTCAATACATGTCTACAAATATGTCAGCCTAGAATTGAAATCGGCGTAATTAATCATCAATTTATCATTAACTACATCACTGCCTCATTAGTTTGAAAATCTGCATTTTTCTAGCGCAAAATCTCAGAACCTGAATTTTCCAACAGCAAGATAAAAACAAAGATGGCAATAATAGATAAAGAGCTCCTAAACTACATTCTTCTCAACAAAACAACAGTAAACAATTAATTACCAAGCAATTATAATCAACAATCTGTAATTTTAGAATAAAATCAATTTAAAACAGCATAAGAATAATCAAATTTCAGATCTTAGGTGATAAATTACCAATAACTAGCTGATTCAAGTAACAAATCCAAGAACAATGTGAACCTAAAATCAATCAAATTTAATTTGATGAAAATTAAATGCAATTGAAGAGAGAGAAGAGGGAGACCTTCCAATCAATGGCGTGGAAGAAACCCATGAAATTATCATAAGCAGGTGCGAAGCCAGAACGAAGTTCATCGGACAACTTCTGAACAAGATCCGCGATTTGATTCATGTGATCTTCCATTGCTGATCTCACTTCATCCATTGCTAATTAATTGCAGAAACTATTTCACAGTAATTTAGCAGAGAATTCTTCAAGTTTCAGATTTTTGAAACCCAGTAAATTGTAGAACAAACTCAAAGTGTAATTGTAAATCGTCTCAAATTTTTTCAGTTGTTTCTGGAAAATTACAAATAATATAGAGTAATCTTTTTTATTCTGTGGGTTTCTCCATTTTATTTGGGCCTTTTTTGGGCCGGTTTCTTTCATTTTCTCATCAATAGAGCTATATTTAGATGGGCTTGAGTCCATGTTTTCTAACAGAGATTAGTAGAATATACATTTGTAATTTTTATAATCCTTTTACTCTAAGGTGGTCTTCTCGTAATCTATAAGAAAATTTTCATATAGCCAATAGCCCCATAGTAATGCACATCTTAATATAAAAAAGTTACTGATTAGAGCTAGATTTATCATTGCTTAAGATCATGGCGTTACACATAATTATATGAAGAATTGAGGATCATCAATTATACACGTCAATAAGTTATTGTGGACATATAGGTTGATTTTTCTTCATCAAATAGCCGTGAAATATGGATGAATATGTATTATAATGCAGTATTGGGATATAAAATGAGCAAAGAATGAAACATTTTCCAGTAGTAGTAAGGGTTTAGTGCCATGAATGTGTAAGTGGCACACATTTGGATTTATATAATAGGGTGCTGAATAACTCGATCATAACTTATGTGTACAAACTTTGAGAAATGATTCGAGCAAATGCTATGTACATTCACTGGTGCTAATTTTTTGACAAGGGCAATAGTTTTTTTTTTCACCACACACATACTCTTTTAAAAGTCTCATATACAAACAATGCATCGAATGAGATAAATATACAATCAATGATTTTATTGATTTGTGATCACTACCAAGGAGAGTTAAAATGACCATAAGAAATTCATGATGGAGGGTTTAGTACTTAGTAGATGTTGGAAACAACTCATTACATCTCAAATGTTTTTAAAGCCATAAATCCAATATTGAGAACCATGTTGCAATTTTTAACACTAGTTTTTTTTGAAGACTTTAAAACAATAGTTTTAAACCCATGTCTGAGACACCATATTATATGGATTCATCCCCCCTCTTTTCCTCCCTCCAACACGCTCCATCTTTTGGTAGTAATCCTATCATCAATTAACAAAAATTCAAAGTCTTATTAAATCTGTAATAATTTTATAATAGCATTACCTTAACACTAATACACTTCTATTCGTGCATCATGTCTGATGGAAGCAGGATGAAACAACAGCTAATTGAGAATGTGAACTAGATTTAATTAAAACCAAATCATTGCGTTCAAACTCGTTTCGACATTGTTCACAAATACTGTATAATGAATAGCTCTACAAGAAAAAAATGAATCATATACAACGCCAAGCAGAGGCTGTTATAAGGAATCTATCTTGCCAGCCTAGAGAAATACTCCTCCCACAATCCCTTTCGTAAATTCTGAAACCACCGCCACCACCAGAGTTCCCTTCGAAATGAGGATGATAATGGCACCCCATTTTCAACAGAAGTTTCGCTTGAATTGTTGCTTTCGAGCTCAGTTCAATTCCTGAAAACCCATGACTTGTCATCCTTCCTTTCCATGTCTCCATTATCTCAAATCTTGAACACTTCACTTCATCCTCGGAAGCTATCAGATCTTTGATCTCTCTCCCGAGATGGTTCTTCTCTATGTTCAGTCTCTCGGCACTCTCTAGAGGTAGACAATCATCCAAGGAGTCGAACATTGCAGCATAATAATGCAAAGAATCGACGTAATTTGGGAGGATACCACAACTGTTCTGACTTCCTTCTCTTTCTACTAAAACTACTATTGAAGGGTTTAGAGAGTGTATGGCTGTCATGGTTTCTGAAATCTTTAAGATATCACTCAAGCTACTGAGGTGAAAAACCATATTTACTGCAACTGTTTCGTTTTCTCTTCTTTCAAGGTTGACGAGCTTTGATCCTCTTAACAACCCATGAAATTCAAAAGCTATATTCTGAAACCCCTTAGAGAAGCTTATCAATCTATTCTCGGTGTCAATCAGCTCTTCCAAGCTTCTTGCAAGACCTGTAATACGAAGTGATACTAACCGGTTTGAAGCAGTAGCCATCTCAGAGAGAGACTGCATAAGAGAAGGCCATTGAAACCCATGTGAGATGTCAAAATCAATCACATGTAACGCCCAGTTATTATTTTCTTCCTCCCCCTCGAATGCTTCAATTATGGCCTGATTGGCAGTAAAATGAGCAAACTGATAAAAAGGAGAAACTCTGTACATATGAGTAAAAGCCATGAACTCGTCTGCAGGTGTTGGTTTGCTCATTACCATATTATAGAATGCAGATTTCTGGGTTAAAAGCCTTGCAGCCAACCCATCAGCAAAATAAGCAGCAACCCTTTGCCCTGAATCACCAGTTACTGACACATATCGATAGAGCTCCATCACATTATCAGCAGCAGAGCTGACATTATTATCTTTGATCAATGTGGCTGCTACGAGCAGCAAATGAATCAGATGAATACCGGAACCTTCTTGAACATCTTTTCCTCTTTGCTCAATGTTCAACATTCTCTGTCTCTCTTCAAGCAGCCTGAAAATCTTTTCCTCCCAGTCTTCAACTGAATTTGTCAGAGAATGTGAATCATCGATCCTCCTCCTCTTCAGTTCCCTCTCAACATGGTCAGAGTGACCGACAGTGGCTAAGCTAAGGCTCAAAACCTCTTCATTCATCGTAATGGTTTCTGTAATAACAGACACAGGACTACAGAAGAAAGCAGACTTAAGAAAGCTCAAAGAACGAGGAATAACAATGAAATGTTTAAAAGTAATGAAGAGAGAATTGAAAGCAGAATGGAATAACCCAACACAAATTCTTTAGAGTAGCAACAAGGACAAGGAGAATCTATAAATAATTAGAGACCCTGCTTTTTGTTTTACGTTTCAGGTTAGTGAGGTCACCAAAAGCAATAATATATAGGAAGAGTATCTATAATCTATACTGATTCCTTCTCTTAGAATTTAGGTTCACTGAACAGCTAAGCCCTTCCAATTAGTATAAACAATACCTGAAAGGGCCAGTGTGCAATGCGCGAAGGGTCTTATTTACTAGTCTTTTGGTAGCTCAGAAAAGCAAGAAGTGCACTTATAAAGGACAAACAGCAAGAAAAGTGTTGAACCTTACCTACCTGTCTCTGAGATTTGCAACATTTGCCTACAAATACTGCCTAGATTTGCTAATAAAAATACACAAGTCGTTCCAAAAAATGATGATTAAAATACTCAACCACCGTGATATGACGCTAAAGATAATCAATCAGCGGATATCAAATCTCAAACAGATTCTTGCAAATTAAGTATTCAAGAATTGTTTAATTCAACCAGCAAAGACAGTCTAACTTATAAAATTACTCAGACAATGGTCACTGTATAGGCACTCAGAGCTAACATTCAGAATCAGATTTTCTGCATTATATTATGTTGATGATTGGGAATCACACACGCCTTCACAAGGCAAAGAAAGAATATCAAACCAAAAAGTCTACTTAAAAAAAAATGGACACAAATGATTAAGTGCATGCATCTTTCAATTTATATGCTTCAACAGAACAGGTTATGAGAAAATAGTTAAGTATAAAAAAGTCAGTAACAGATACTTCGTATTGGTGAAAACATAACAGATGGTAAATTTTAAAGCATTTAAGACTATTAAGAGTAAACAGAAAAAATCAATATCTCTGCCCTGATAGTCCTGATATGTCTAAGTATGGGGTCAAATTTACACAACCTATCCTAAAATATGAGATGAGTTGTTTCAATTTACCCTTAACCTGAAACGAAACACCTAACCTCTATTCAGTATTCACAATAAGCTATAGAAGGGCAAATAGTTAAATGTATTCGTGATTCAGTGTCTATTATGTTTTAAAATCAGAAAATCTGCATTCTTTGATACACAGGAAATGGACAGAGTAAAGAGATGACTGTAAAGTAATTAAGAAATATACTTCTGAGCGTACAAGATAAGCATATAGTGTCTATATTCATTGGAAAGAGTCTGAAAGGGTCATATGGCCTTCAAAGCGACATATATACATCGAGGTCATTAGCCCTAAGCAATTACAATATGTCTCATATTAAGAGGACATTATTGTAGTTTAGTTTTGCCCCTTAATAGCAAGAGAGAATGATTAAACCATATTTTAAGATAATTAAGATATAAGGAGGAATTAGGTGTCAGCTCCTGCACCAGATAATGACTGTAATTGAAATTATCTACAATTTATTCAAAGTTTTCTTACATATTCTTCAACAAAGTTTGAACAATTAAGAACACAGTATACATTCATAACAAAAATAAAATAGAAGTCTAAAATCTTAATGATACACAATCACTCTTAGTGACCAATGGAAATGAGGGGAAGAAAAGTCAACTTTCAGTTCTCCAATAATAGTGTATAATTTAGTAATTATATGATGGACTGCCTACATCATTAAACACAAAACTGTCACTTTACTAAGATTGGGTAAATATATAGCTCTTCCACAGTGGAGGAGGAGGATATTCAGGTCAGAAGTATCAAAATTTACTGATTGTACTCCTCCAAAGAGTACCTGAGATACCTTAAAAAATATTGTACTATGAAAGAGTAGCTGATAAACAGCATCTTTTTCTGGATCTTAGGAAGGTTGGAGCAATTCAAAGGGCATCAGGATACCATTTAAAATAACAACATGCAGCACAGCATGAAGTATCAAACTAAGAAGAAATATTTTGATTCCAAAGATGACCAAGTCAAAAAACCAGTAATGATTATTTACAATTTCAGAAGTTCGGCCATGTTCTCTCCACCCAATTACGACTAAACCAAATATTTAACTATTTTACCTGTTCGCCTTGTTTTGTATGCAGTTACTGATTTTCACTGACTGAAACAAATATTTACTAAATATCAGGAGAGCATCATCTAACAATCTGCAGACAAACATAGTTAACTCAAAGTACTACAAAGTCATTCACATTAGATCAGCATAACCATTAGAAATAATCAGAATCCTAAAGGCTGTGATTTGATAATAAATCAAGCATAATTGAATCCAAAATCAACTTAAATTACTTTTCGACAGTCACTAACATATCAGGAATCTTCTAACCAATATTTTGACAGTCACTAACAAACATCAGGAAGCATCTTCTAATCAATCCTTTTATAATGAAAAGGAAGCTGTGAAACATATTTTTTACTGAATGCAAAACAACAGAGTTAGAAAGACATGCCTTCTGTTTTCAAGGAAAGTATCAGAACATATATAGTCAAGTCTGCTACAATGAAATGATTTAAACACATTTAGTATGAATCCTAAACCCTGAACCCAGCTGATTATAATAATTAAATTCAAAATTATGATGACGACACCGAAAAGGAGGAATCTTTACATGGAAAAACATATCACATCCATCACAACTGCCTCAACTTCATTCGAAAAAGTCAAAGGACAAATCTGTTGGCAATTGAAAACTGATCCTGTAACTGTAAAGCCACATTTAGTGGCTTTTCTCTACATAGGTTCGGTATATTCGTTCATTTGGTGAAAGGGATATTGTCTCATTTTCTATAAGTACACCTATTAGATAATAGGTAGAAAACTCTGTTTCTCACATCATTTGTCCAACCTCAACTTTTGATCTCTACTACAATCCTTCACAATTTTCCTACCTAAACATTTGTCTTTTACAGGACATGGCGGCATACCAAGGAATTTGTTGGATTATGTCTGGATCTTCCTTGCATGCGTAATTACCTCGCTTAATCTTCGAATGCCCGTTTTCTTCATAAATATGAAAAGGGGGCATAGTCACTAACCATTTTACATCTATATATTTCTATATACTTAATAATTGCTATTATTTTTCTATACCTCAAGTAAACCATCAATCTATCCATAATCTCAAAAAGGTAATAATCTACCACCTTTAGTCATTTTTAAAACCAAAAAACCTAAAAGATGAATTATTATATAAAAGAAAGGATATCAAATCTGATTAAGTAAAGCATGGATCATGCAACTTTTGGGGTTTAACTATAGTCAACACCAAAAATTGTTTTCTATATCCAATTTAAAAACAGCTCTTCCACTAAAGACCACGAATGTTTTAGATTAATCCCAAAAGAGACCATGATCTTCAAAAAGATAAGAGTAGGTTTGCCGACATATCCTGGAGAAAGAGTATCTGAGAGACCATACAAAAGTTGAAGCCGATTTCAGCAACCTTACGTATATACATACAGTAAGCTGGGGCCAGGACACAGGTACATTTTGATGATACATAATGCAGATTGTCATGCTGCAGTACTTGCAATAAGAAAATGCAGGCTACAAAATAACCATTTGCACAGATAGATTTATTATTGCAAAATAACAAAATATCAGATATACCGAAATATTGCAAATAAGAGTATATAAATAAATTTATAAATGTAATCAGCATGTTAAAAATGCAGGTATTACAGAAGCCACTAAGACACGTACAGAATTCTGGAAATAGTTACCAGCTTGAGTCATTATTTTTTCTGTAGTCTGGAAGGCGATATGTTCTTAATCTTCCTTTTGAAAAAGAAGTAGAATGCTGAACCCACCAAGGGCCAACTTGTAACAATTGCCACATAAGCGAGCAACCATATAGATTTTTTAGAATGACGAGTAAGCTGTTCCAAACGCCGCTTAATAAGAGAAGTTGCACCGTGACAAGATGCATTGCAGGTGCTGGACTTCTGTTCATGGGTTTGACTTTCTGAAGGAACATCATTTGGGACTGATTCTCTCAACTGCTGATCTCGGTCCTCCTTAGCCATTGCAATGGTTGGTTTAATAATCTCGGAGGAATCTTCAAACTCATCAGTTCTTGTTGGTTCATTGGCCACAGCAGCAACCATCCCATCTTCTGCAACACTTATATATGGACTCTGGTCTATTGAAGGTTCCGACGGAGGAATTAAGCCAGGAATCTGCACCTGAAATTAGACAAAATTATAAGAAATGGAACAACAAAGTATGATAGACAAGATAAGAACCCAAGATAAAAGGAATTCACCTTATATTGTCTATGCATATATGGGCTCGAGTGTAAGATACCCAGGAACTCGGTGACAGCCCTCACCCACCTGCAGATATGCAGAAGCTCATCAAGCCTACAAGCAATGCCTAAATGTTATCCAGTTATCCCTCATGAACGTCACCCCTCCCTTAACCCAATAACATTTTTAATTTTGCGCTGTTATCTCCCCCTCTGTCAGCTTTAATGCGACACACAAGGACCTTTTTCAATACTTCCAAATTTATTGTACATAACAAACTAACAGCATGTACAGCCTCCTCCAAACCTATACCCCTCCCTGATGTAACGGAGGCCCAAAAAGGAGTAAATGCACTCTTATACAGGACTTACACATCACCACCCGGAAAAAGGGGCAGCTCTAGTGGGATTTGGCTAACCAGAGTCTCAAAGTCAAATAATTCATAATTTTCTCAGAAGCAGCAATAGCGTACAAAATTATTAAATTGTAATAATTGAGCAACAGCTGAATACCAGAGGCTGGAAGCAGTTATTCCTTCAAAGAAAGCAAGATGTCCACCATGTTGTGCTGTTGCTAGAACAATGTTCTTATTTAACCTGTTTAAACATGTAAATCAAAAAAAGTCACTACAACCCACTAGAGTCACAAACTCATTGGCAGAATGATAGCCGACAAGACCTGCATTCGTCCCATGGAATGGCTTCCTTGGTACAAACAGGATCGTCCAAAGCACTAATGCAGAGTAGCGGAACAGCTACTTTATCCACATAATTAGTACTGCTATTTCGCCTGTAGTATGTGTCGACAGTCTGAGAACGCGTTTGGATGATTTCAGTAGCTAGACAGACAAAAGGACGGGGTAATGTAAAAAATTACGTAAGAACTAGAGAAATAAACTCTACAGAAAATGCTACCTCATACTTTCCTACAAGACAGGTGGCGTGATTATCAAAATCTCGGATGCTGCGGGACTATCATACACGCAAAAAGAAATTTTATCAGTAAAGAGTGACAAACTATGTCATTAAAATCGGGAAACCCATTGAATAGAGCTACTCCCCGGGGTTTTAAACCGTCAAATGATCAAAATAAAGAGCAAATCCAGATGCACACTTATTGCAGACACTAATTACCAAAGTGTCTATGACACAAGGTCAACCCACTCTGTTAGCTGGGATCAACTACACAGTACGGAAAACTAAAAAATAAATTACCATTCACTCCAGAAGATACAAATGCATGGTTGGTGAAGGAAAGAACAATCAAGCATACAAAATCTTGAAAGAAAAGATAGGAGGCCAAGCTATCTTTTTTGGTAGCATGCAAGTAATGATTAAACTGCTACATAAGAGGCAAAAAGACATTGCTTAATTGCTGCCACCACACAATGATGATGAGCAGTTATAGCAAGGAATAATAAACCACTACATAAGAGGCACTGGGTGATTTAGATCTGTATGGGGGTCAAGATATAAATTACTTATGACTATTGATTATAATATTATGAAGGCATGGAGATACGGAAAATGTGAACTAGAGCATAAGCTTAAGTCCTTGCTTGACAAATTTTTAAAAAGGAAAAAGAACTCAGATGAGAAGCTTTCTGGTAGTGATGAGTGATGACAGTTTATCATAGCCGAATATTTGATCAAAATTTTGCAAGCCAATTAAGAGAATCAGCAGAGCAGCAGGCTAACAGCAAACAGTGGGTAGACAAGAGGAGGAGATGCATGAAGAATATTATTCTCAACGTTAATGATGAAGACTATAACTCTGAAATCTGGATAATACAAGGTGGTACTAACACTAATAGCTCTCATACGATCATATCCCTTAGGCTCATGAAAACTACCATAGATATTTTTAATTAATTTCATTGGAAATACAAACCTTTACAATTCCTTCCCAATTAGCAAGTCGAGAATAGCGGGGTTGATGCCTGCAAAGGCAGCAGGCAGAACAAAGTCAATATTCAATATTCTCTTAGCAATGCATCATCATGATGTTTTGGACACCATCAAACCACAAGTTAAACCATAATTAGATCACACTGAAGTAGCTAAAAGGACATACAACTGTGCATAACCTTGCAGGCCAATGGTAAGAGCTCTGTCATACAATTTCTGGACAAGTCTGCGACCAATGAACCGGTCTCCAATCTGTGCAAGGACACAATAAGATGTGAAGAAACAGGTACTGATGTAAAATAAGCAGTAAATATTGTAAGGGGAAGCTACTCAATGAAAAATTATTCAATGGAATTGACAATTGAGGGACAATAAACCACATAATATGAAGCTAAAGAACCACATAGGACTATAGGAGAGAGGCACACTCGCTTGTCCCACCAGGAGGCTTAAAGTTGGGATTTGGGGAAGGCTTAAAGTTGCATTTCTACTTTGTGCAAGTAAACTACCCACCAAGTGAATTATGATGTTTTGTTACATAAAATGTGTACAATAGAAGAAAAAGAACTTACCAAAAGGTCCCAAGGAGAGCAAATAGCAACAGCACCTGCAATTGGAATGTTTTCCCCATCTTCACCAAGGAACTTAACCTGAAATAATTTAAAATCTCATTGATACTAGAATGGAATATAAGATTCATGGTAAAATGTGATACCTAAAAATGATGACAAAGCAAATCTTATGATTATCATCCACCAAGAAATTAAAAAAAAAAAAAGAAAGCTAAAACAGGAAAAGACATATGACAAGAGATGTATAAAGCATAAACTAAATAGAAGGCAAATATTTCCAACATCTTCAATGCGTCTAGAAGGTAAGTTTTTTACATCCAAAATTTTCAAAGTTGAAAGGAAAACATATATGTTTTAGAATGAAATAACTCATCAGATACCTTAAAACTATGATAATCTTCCTAATTTTACAATTGAACGCAGTCAAATAATGATGACACTAAATGGCAGGTTCAAGCTGAAAGCAACATGAATTTGATGTACTTCTGCCACTATGAACCCTCATTGCAAATTTCAATGAGATAGACCTATTTTACAAAAAATAAAAATAAAAAATAATAATAATAATAAAATAAAATAAAAAAAAAAAAAAAAAATTAGATGCACCAACATAAGGTGTTCTGCATGACAAAATAACCGTCAGCAACCTTTCAGAGATGAGATAAACGAAGCAGAAAGTTTATACAAGCCAATCAGGTTTTGTTATGCATGAAAAATGAGGTTGCTTACCTAGGAGAAAAGTATGAGCACAGGTAGTTTTGTTATAATAAGTATAAAGGTGACTATTTTACAAAGAAAACTTCATATTTCTAAGGGGCTTCTAATTATCAAGAAAATAAGAGTTCACTTGAATACTAAAATCTATGTACAAAAATCATAACAATTGACAAAATGTTCCAAACAGACATACCAGAACATTGGCTCCAATGCTGGTTCCCACAACAAAAAGTGGAGCACTTGGGTATTCACGATGTAGATGATGAATGATTATGCGAACATCATCTGTCCAGCCAGCATTATAGAAGCAGTCAGACTGAAACAATGCCATACAGGTATTAGTTAAAATTAAGATATATACACAAACAAAAGAAAAGAGGGAAAGGAAGGGCACAGCTAGATCCATTTAAAACAGTGCATTAATGAGTGAGACAAGTTGAGAAGAATTGAAATAAAGTGAGACCGTGCACCAGACGCAACAAGATCATTAAATAAGTCAAGTAGACAGCAGAGATACCAAAAAATAACATTGTTTGTTGACATTATATGGGGTGTAACCATTAACCAATCAGTTCTATTGTTTCTGGAATCATTTAAAACAAATCAACATTAACAGGAAAGAATCAAAAATCATGAGCATTACGTTCTTTTTTAACTTCATGCAATTCAATACTACAATCAGCATCCACAAAGACATCGAATACAAGTCAAGAAATAGTAGACCACCATGACCAATTCTTTCAACCTATATATCATTGCTAAATTGCTTATGAAGCCAGTTTAGAAGCATGACCGTCCTCCAAATTAAAATGCCATTCATCTTACAAAATGGAGAAACAAATTTAAGTAGCTGCATATGCAAAAGATGATTGTGCCATACCCATCCTCCAAATTGAAAAATATCCAAAACTGAAGGCTAATCCATGCTATCACACCAATTTCAAAGGTCTCGGACCTCCTGGTGTCAAAAACTTTCGAGATGGTAAGGGATGCATCTTGGGTTCATATAAGATTGTTTGGAACCAAATGTGAAAATAAGTCAATCACAAAAAGGACCATAGTGACTTGAGTTAATTAAGGGATGTGTGTACATAAAAGACAAAATTGACAGTTTAGAGCAGAGTGGATAGTTCCAACCACTCAAATGGCCTTCCGAGGTATTACGGGGTCCGTGGGAAATACACAAATCATTTTTCTTACCGAGCTCGGTAAAGTAAAAAATTATCCAAACTGAAGGCTATAATCCATGAAATTGGACCAAATTTGAAGGTTTTAGGACCCGGTGTCGAAAACTCTTGAGATTGTAGGGGATGCATCCCAAGGTCATATAACGTTGATTGGAACCATAGTTGACCACTAGTTGGTCATATAGATTCTCGGGGTGGCCTTGAGTTGATGAAAAGAAGCATAAATTGTAAAAGGTTAAATTGGTAATTTAAAGGCAAAACAGATGGTTCTAACCACCCAAATAGACTCCCATGGTGTCTTGGGGTCCAAACAAAGCACCCGACGTGATTCCTTTGTAGGATTGGAAAAGTTTAAAATTTTGTTAAACGGAAGCCTATCATCCACGCTCTCCAGTCAATTTCGAGAATTTTTCCCAAATTGAAATGAATTTGTGGGATATCCCCTAGGGTCATATGAGTTGGTTTGGAACCATAACAATCCTAACAATAGGTGTATAAAGTCCTAAGAAGCTAAGAATAAGTTCAGTTAAGCTATGTGGCTACCTCAAATTACCACCTATTTTACTCAATTTTCCACTTTTCGTCCCCATAAAAAATATACTTCGTAATTTTTATATAATTTTTTTAAAAAAAATAGATAAAACTGCCAAAATCATGCTTAGTACGTAGTACCCATTCTTTGGATTACACCAAAGAAAATGGGTGTTATCATCACACTTTCACAAGTTCTAAGCCATTTGCCAAATTTCTTATAAAGCACATTCATTGCCGCCAAATTTCTTATAAGCAATTCTTTCAAGCTATATATCATTGCCAAATTGCTGACAAAGCAAATACAGAAGCACCACCATCCTCCAAATTGAAATGCCATTCAAATTACAAAGTGAGATTTTAAAAAAAAACAAAAAAAAAAAACAACAACAAAACAAAAGCAAAAAAAGGAAGATGATTGTGGATCAAAGATCCTAGCATGGGAAAAAAAGGGGGGGGGGGGACATTGTTCAATACTCACAGTGACAGAGACACCACCAAGACCTCTGTGGTTGCTTACAACAACATTCCATCCACATTTTGCAGTGTTGTACACAAGATGTTTCAGGTACTGTGGAAAACATCAACAGATGCAAACATGAATCAATCATTTCACTATAATAACAACTGGAAAAAGGGAGTTTTACGAAGGCAAATATCATAGATGTTCACGTAGATACAATCTATGATATCTATAAGTTTATGCGTTTTCTAGTGTATTGCATGAGAATTTGCTATGCTTCTTACAAGTATGACAACTATTAAAAAGTTAAAAATTCTAACATCTCCCGCCAAAGAGGTATCGTATTAAAATCATCTTCAATACCAGCTAAATATGATAAACAACTTACCGGTGAATTAGAATCACTTGTTAGACCTGGGATTACAAGTACAATAGGAGTCTTATCATCTTTAGGAATAACATTGTCAATGTAAACTGCATGCCCCATCACTGAAAAATTAACAGAGACAATTATCAGCCCATATGCATGTCTTTTACACCAAGAAATACAACACAATGCAGAAGATAGGGAAATCAGCAGAGTGGGCTAACTCAAGTACATAAAAAGTACAAGCATGAAGCACTACAGTCTAAATCACCAAACTCCAGCACTAATAAAAAGAATCAAAAAGGACTTTTCTCACACTATATTTGAAGATTTTGAACAAGTTAGTCTCACAAAAATGTCTTTGGACTTTCTCAGAAACACACATAACCAGCATATCCCCATGCATACACAAGGAGACAGACGATGGAACAGAGACCACAAAAAAGGCTTAAATGTGGAACAACCATGCAAGAAGGAGAACAATAGAGAAAACACAATCTCATCTTATGCACAAACTAACATCCAAAGGAAACAATATAGGGGAATCAGACATCCAGAAACACAACAGGACTGAGGGAGAAAGAGTGGCAGATTGGCAAGGCAAACAAAGCTCAACTAAATTCTTTTGATTCTAATTATACATAGTCCAGGGATTTTAAATTAGTATGATTACCATCAGAACTCATAAGCCAATCCAGAGCAACTGTTCCACCATCAGATAAACGAAACATTTGTCTGACATTAAAAGGACAAGTGAAAATCATTAGCAATTATAAGCTTCAAAACTTAGCTAAAAAAATACGTCTCATGTACCCTATGGAGAAAGAGTATGCTTGTTACAAAAAAAAAGAGAGAAAAAAAAAAGAACGAGATTACTTTTTTTTTTTTTTTGAAGGGGTAAGAAAGAACCAAATCACTTAAACATATAAGAAACATAAAATAATCCTGGAGGAAAAAAAAAACACAATGAAACATGTCGAGTGTACAAAAAAACTCTAATATGTCTAGAGTGTAAAAAAAGAAAAAGAAAAAAAAAAAAAAAAAAAAAAAAAAAAACTTATATGGAGTAAAGGGAATAAGATTAAGGCTGCGAACAAGCAGACAGCACTTCACAGGAAGTTGTTGAGTTTTATATCTATTCTAGGCCTGAATTCATCTTTCTCAACACAATAGCTTCTTGATGTATTTGATGCTGTAACATTTTTTTCACTCTTGATCATACTTAACTCCAGGGAGGACCGCACCTCTAGATATTATGACCTCGACATCTCTTTATTCCTCAGTTCAAATTGTTTCTTAATAGAAACAAACATCATACTCAACTCATTTACCAAGAAAACAAAGTATGAAGTTCCCAACTAACAAACAATCATTCCACAAATGAAATGTACATAAGACTCCTCAGTCCTCACTCGGTAGGAACGAAGCCAAGAGTGTGATAAATATATAATTATAATCATCACAAAAATACTGTCACATTAATCAACATAAATTTCATAACAATATTGTTACTCTAAAACCATGATCCTAGCATCTTTCAACCAATGAACACACAAAACAATGCATCTTTAACATCATTAGCAATCATTTAGTACACCTAAAATAAATGTTTTTTAAAAAAAAAAAAGAAAAAAAAATCACCTTCTATAATTGAATACAGGGGGCCTTCCAAAAAAGTTCAAAAAAGTAGTTTGAATATGAGGACTAGCTAACCAAGGAGTAGCCAAATATCTGCAAAACAAAAAGAAAACAACAAATTAATCACAAATTACCAAAACCTAATTAAATTGTATCATCAAAATTATCGAAAATTAAACCTTCCATGTAAAATTCGACACTTCGAAACAACTCCCTCATAAAGTTTGGATTCGGAATTGAAAGTTAAGGTGATTGGTTGACCTCTAAATCCAGTTAAAATGTCACGAATCAAATGCCATTCCACAAAATTATACAAAATTACCGCAACAATAATCGCAAATCCGATGAAATAGTGAGAAATTGGGATCATCAGAAGAGCTTGAAATATTAGTTCATAAGGAGAGTGAGAATTGAAGTTAGAAATTGGGGATGAATTTTCCATGATTGAAGAACCCTAGAAATTGGGGATAATGAATTGCAATTGGGAATTTGGAATTGCTAATTCCAGATTTAATAATAGTAGTAGTTAAGTAAGTAAATTGATGGACATGAGAAACTGGAAATGAAGCAAATGAAGACAAAAAAAAGCTTTGGTGGATTTCCTTTTTTTTGAATTTCACTTTTTTTTTGGTAGTTTGGGTGGTTGACAATTACGTGTAACTGTATTCTCATTTCTGAATTTGGGATTGTTGATTGGATTCACATATGATTCATGGACTTGAAATTCTCTATGGACGGTGACAATGGATTACAGAATATAAAATTATATATAAGTCGGCTAGATAAGTTGGTGTTACAGTATTGGAGGTCAAGATTTGAGATCGAATTTCATTTACATTATTCACCTTTTGTGATTTTCTCCACGTCAAATATATGCTTAGATTATTGAGTATGAATTTCAAAGATGTTGAGTGCTTCTACAATTGTGATCGAATTTCATTTACATTATCTACCTTATTTGATTCAGACTTTATCATTAGTGAAAAACTAATGGAATGTCATTCTTTCTAGTTCAAATATTAAAAACTCTAAGATTTTAAGAGACTTTAGATGGGAGCTACATAATTATGGCTTTTAAGGCACATGCCTACAAGGTCACATTGAAATCCTTCTCAATTTGGAGTAAGAACACCATGTATCACAATGACAAATGACAAGTTTTACAACCAATAGTTATGTATATTTTGCTTGAACTAATGCATACTTGTTCAATTTCAATGCATTGATTTATCTTTAAAACTGTATTTTTGTTGATTAGAACGGCTTGCTGATTAAATTGGAAAAAAGGGCAATAGGTTTGTAATGTCACATCTAATATAATATTTAGTATTTTAGTGTTGGTAATCTTGGTATAATAGTTGTAGTTGGAAGGAAACCCTTACTTAGTTGCTCTAATACATTTGTCTTGTCATTTGTTAATGATGTCAAGGATAAGCCTTTATTTTTCAAAAACTTAATATGATTAAAAGGTAGTAACTACTCTAACTAATAAATATATCAAAGGTACAAAACTTAATTTAAATGATTGGAACAATTCAAATTTGATTAAAACCTCAAAAAAAAAAGTTATCATTTTTATTTTTATTTTATTGTAATCAAGCTAAGACCATATTTAAAATGGTTGCAAGTACAAACAAAAATTGTTTGTGTACGTGATTCTACAGTACACAGTTAAAAGTAACTTTGCCTTGTGAATAAATTTACCCCACTAGAGGAGAGAATTACCCCCACCCTAATTAGGGATTGCAAAATGGACTAAACCAGAAAAGAATAAAAATAAAAATGAAAAAAAAAGTGGATGTATCATGCATTGCCGGCTGTTGGAGGTATGATAGTTAGAGCTAAGACTCCACTGATCACTGCTGATACTGCGCCAAGTAGAAACGCAGGTAAGTTCCCTCCTCCAAATATTTTATCCCATGGTCCACTTATTAATGACACGAACATCTGCAATAGGTAGAAATTTCGAGTTAGTCCAGCTTTAGTAGGTCTTGTATACTACGAGTATAGATTTTGTATGCAACAAATGTAGGCACTCGTTATCAAAATTGATATATGTTTAAGGGTTATGGGCTTATTGTAACTTGCCTGTGGTACACAAATTGCCAAATTCATCAATCCTAGTGAAAGTCCTGAAAAATAAATGAAATTAACAAGATTAGCCCCAAGTTATATATTCGTTCAATTCATTGATGTTTTTTTATGAAAATATAGAAGACAAGGAAATTAAATTTACCATGGCCAGCACCGTTGTCAGATGAGTACATGGATGCCAATGCAAATGGAATACTATAGGTAGCCTGTTACAAAGTTAAGATGTAAAAAGTTTAATATTTCAAGACAGAGAGAGTATGCAATATATACTTAGTCAAGCTAAATGATATAGAGTGTTTTTATGGGCAGAGGGAGTAATACTTACTGCTTGTGGAATACCAGTGGCGGCGAAGAGGGCTAAAGTACCACTCTTGATGCTAGGAGAAGGAGCAGCATGAAGAGGCTTATGCCTTCTAGCTTTTTCAGCCATTTTAGTCAGTGGTAGTGTACCAGCTAAAGAAGCAGCCAAGATAAAATTGACTAGACCCCATGTATATCTAACACCCCCTAATAATTTTGACAATGGATCTATGCAAAGTGACATGCATCCTAGTGACAATGCTGTCAACATTAGTCCTAATGCTCCTGTCCTTACTCCCATGTCATATAATCTTTTTTCGCCGGGATTTCCCTGCATATATAACAATGCGCCAATGTAACGTTACACAAATGTTTTACGTGTTATATTATAATATGTATCCTTAAAAAGATGTACTTGTGGTATAACTAAAGTCGGAATATTAAATTTACCTGTGGATTACCACCATAGATCTCAAGACCAACCCAATCGGTGTTAAACATCAAGAAGGGGAACCAAGCAATCCAATTAATGGCGGTAACAATGAAAAGGCACCACATAGACTTTCCAAGACTCTTAAAGGTGGTTTTAACTTGGATGAAAAATGGGGTTTCATCATCAAAAATTCTTTCAACCGGAGGCTCCTTCACCGCAACAAGAGCAATCACAACTACAGCTACGAGTAGAACGATATCAATTAAGAAGCATGTTTTGAGGTTTGCACAATATGTGTCACAGGCGGTCGTCTTTGTAAAAGGGAGGAATTTGTACAAGCCTGAGGCTGATCCTGCCGCGTACCCTAAGACGTTGCCTACTGCCATGAAAAATGAGAAGAAACCATTTGCCATTCTCATCTTTCTATGATCATGTTTTGATAAATCTGCCAAGAATGCTCTACTTGGATCCTGCAATAGTCATTTCAATACACATTATTAATCATAATATTGCGTACTAGACACATACTCATTTTTTTTTTGTTAATGTAAAATAAGTTAAAATAGCGCATTCCAACTCAGATTAATATATATATTTTATTAATCAATTGATGTGTTTCGTCTAGGTAAATTACTCATTGGGTTAATATTCTGAAATCTGAACAATTAGTATCAAATTAATAAGATCTATTAGAAATTTATATTGAAATGTTAATGATACTTAATAAATGATCATAAATTTATCAATCATGTCAAATGTGATCTAGCATGTTTGATTATGAAAACCTTTAGAATTTAGATTTTGATAACTTTATGATCAGGAATAAAATAAAATAAAATTTGACATTAAATTTGATAATAGAAAATTTTGTAATGACTAACCTGAACCATATTATTGGCAATGTCAAGGATCCAAAAGCCAATAACAAAAAGAACAACAGCTCTAGGCTTAGTCTTCTTCTGAAGGTTGTCACCAAAACTATAGCCTACGTCAGCTGCGAACCCAATCAACAACACAGCAAGACAGATCAACGTGGTACCAATAGTAATAAAAGGCTTTCGACGTCCAAACCTCGAGGTACAACGATCACTAGTGTACCCAACCGTAGGTTGAACGACAATACCGGAAACCGGACCACATAGCCATATTAAGGATGACATTGTATGTGTAACACCAAGAAGTTGGACGTAAGGGGTGAGAAGTGAGAGTTGTAGTGCCCATCCAAATTGCACCCCGGCCGCGATGGATGCCACAGCTATGAGCTTCCATATGGGTGTTGGTTCAGTTGGCATGTGTTTTTCAACAGCTTGTGGCTCATCTGATGAACTCATTTTAACCAAGCTAATTTGATTTTACTTGGTAATAATCAAAAATAAATTTTCTTAAAATGAAACTATATAGGTTGTAATTTTGTATGATACAAATTGAATGCACACAAGTATTGGTTAGTTATTAGCTGGCTATACTTAATCTAGATGTTGTAAATTGATGTATGTGGCGCAACTTGTATATGGGAAATCTTTCATAGATTTAATGTTATTTAGATGAGGAATAGAGAATGTAATGAATTGTGATATTAACAATGTTGTTTTTAATTGAATTGTGTCAAGTTAAAGAGAATTAAGGCGAATATATAATAGTGAAAATAAGTGATAATGGAGATAAACACGGGCATCTAAGTACTGAAAATAGATAACAATTAGTTGGATTAATTAAACTCACATGGTTTCTATTTAAAGAGGAGTGAAACTAACATTATCTTATTTTAGAAATTATTTTCACTAGGTAAACTTGTAACTAATCCATTTTTATAGGAGTGTTACATTTTTTTCTACTTTGAACCACTATTTTGTTTGGGTTTTGTTGAGGTGTCATTTGGATAAACATTTAATTTTTAGGGGGTGAAGATTTCTATTAATAATTCCATCACACTATGATTGCAAACAAACTCCCACTTTTAATACTCACATTTCCTCTTTTATTTAACACCTATTCAAGAAGCTTTATATTAATTTGTTTTTATTATTTATTTTTTAAGGTAATTGTAAAGTAGACTATTAACGCATAAAGGAAATTATATATGATGAAAACTATAGATCACCTAATATTTATATATCTATGTAATTATTAGAAAAAGACTTACATAATTGACGAAAAAGGTAGTACAAAACATTTGTAAACAAAATTTGAATTAAATGAGTTTTTAATTCATTTGATATTCACTTTTCTTAACTTATCAAGTTTACTTAAACTCAACTAATCTTGTTAAACATTATTTAAATATGTAGTAATTAAATTGAACTTAGATAACCTTATTGAAATTTAGTTTTTCTACTTATGTATTTATGCATAACTAATACATACGTGTTTCACGTAATTTGTTAATTTATCTATAAAAATAATTGGATAAAATAGCTTCTACTTTTTCAACTGATAGTGAGAGAACGAAATCCGGGTAAATCCCAATACCTATTACTGGTAAAAAGATAGCAGTCGAAACAAACAACTCTCGCGGCCCAGAATTAAAAAAAAAAAAGAGTTGGAAATGTTAAATAATTTATATCCATAGAACATTTGACGTGACATAGATTAAGTATAGCCAGCTAATAACTAACCAATACTTTTAAGTTTTATAAAAATTATGTTAAAAAAGAGTTGGAAATGTTAAATAATATTATGTCATATAAAAATTTTAATATATTATTTGTTTTATGAAAATGTCATATCTTATTAACTATATCGATGCCTTACATAATTTTAAGTTTTATTCAAGGAGATACAAATTTTAAAGGAAAATCTATCATAAATAGGGTTAATAATCTGATTAAAGATTTGTGTTGTGTACAAGGGAATCATTGAGATTAGAATATTGCACGTGACAAGTATGAATATACGGGTAGTATCGTTGTTACAAAAACTAACTATGATGGGATAAAATTGAAATTGATTGCTCTAAAATGACAAAAGGGTATAATATTGACATAAATTCAATTATCAACATGGCTCGTCATAAGTCAAAATAACGGTATCCTAATTTTCGTGTGATTGTTGAGAAGTTTACTGTATTCGATCGTTTGGTAGAGGATGATCATTTTTGTCAATTAGTTGATGCGACTGATAATCCTGCCTTGGGGACCCATGTTGGACAATGATGAGAGTGATGAAGACGACGACAATAGAACATTATTTGATTCTTTGCCATCATCACGTGGATAAAAACTATTACAAAAAAGAGTTTATTTTTTCAAAACACCGAAGGCGCTACCATTCGATTAAGAAATTTGCGTATTTCTGGTACACTTTATTCTCACCACGAAGACAAAAAAAAAAAAAAAAAAAAAAAAAAAAAAAAAAAAAAAAAAAGCGGCGTATTCGTTCTGTTAGAGGATTCTCCTGACCTTTTAAGGATATCACCAACTTGACTATTTTTTCCAAAGTTGTGATGTTTGCTTTGAATATGGACAATTTTAACGAGATAAACTAATATCACAGTAGTCGTACTTGTGAGACAAATGTGCATGATGTCCTAATTATTTTCGTCGAGTGAGACAAATTTAGATATTTGTTCCTTAAGAAACTCAGGAAATGTCTACCGGATATGCCTATCCATGATCTTAAGCTCTTAACCTTTCTGGATACACCACCTAAGGAGGTACCTAGGTTTTATGGTGGTTAGGATTTGTCTAAAGAATGCGAGTCAATAAGTGTCAGCGACATTGACTATGTTAATATCAAATGGATGGGATTAAGACCTTCTAACTTTCTGGATAAACCTACTGAATCTGCAGAGTTTATAGAAATTAACAAATTCCTTCTTAAACATCCCTCTCTCTGCGGAAGGTTGAGTGGATGAATGAATTGAAGGCTCTAATACAAATTCTATGCCATCCAAGTTTTCCATGCACTACATCTAAGGGTTATCTTTCGAGAAAATACAAGTTTATTACCTTGATAAACAAAAAAATTGTTTATCAAGGGGTGTATATGTAAATTACATCTAACTTTTGGTTTAGTGTTATTTTCTCTCTCCTTCTCCAACCTGTTGGTATTCTCTGATTTTCTCTCTCCTCATTCAACCTTTTATTGTTTTCTCTCTTTTTCTTCAACCTTCAATTTCGGAAATCTGAAACCCAAACCCACACACCACTTCTTCCGTCCTCCACGGCACCACCACCTATGGAAGTTCAAAATGTTGCCACGAATGAAAGAATTTCCCTAAGGGGTTGATAAGACCCTTATTTACACTCTTCTTTAGTAGGGTGTCTTTTAATTTTGCCAAGAAGCGGCCATTGTTAGTGAAGAAGAGGAGGACTACGGGAAGAATAGGAAGACGACAGGACGAAGAGGAAGGCTTTTGGATGTGGGTTTGATCGGCGGAAGGTGGACATATGGTGGTGGGGCTTGCTTTTATCTTCCTTAGAAGTTCCTTCAAGATTAGGTTTGATTTATTAAAAATTAGGGAGTGTTCGGATTCCAAAATATAGGTATGAGGTGTAGGTTTAGAATGACTAAAACTCAAACCATATGTTTGGCTGTCAAAAGTATGATTTTTAAACTCATACATCAAACCCATGAGGTATGGGGTTTAGAAACCTTGGGGGGTGGGTTTGGCTCATTCCAATCCCTTAGGTATCAAATAAAAGGAGGGAATAGTGAGAGATTTCATTCCATAATTGAACCAAACACATGATATTAAGTACCAGTTCCACCGGTACTAACTTAATCCCATTCCTAATTCTAAACCCATACCACTCTGCGAACCAAACCCCCCTTATTTTTATGCTTTTAATCAGCAACTAATAAATTGCTTATATTCCTGTAATTGGATGTTTGGGTTTCATAAATGCATACCTTGTGTCTTTACAAGGTTCTACAATGGTTGTGGTTTATTTGTCATTGATGTTAAGACTTATGTGATGTTTAGTGTTTTATATTATGGTTTCTGATAGGACGTCGTCAACCTATCAAGAAATAAGACCTAACTCGATCCTACTCAACTAGTAGCAAGGGCAAGAAAGGGTCGAACCCATGAGAGGCGTTGAATCAACCACCAAATGTTATTGTTAAAACAAGCTAGATTAAGTCGGGGGTTTTAAGTTGGTATTACGTCACACTATTCTAATTCAAATCAACTAATTCTAAGAGGTGATTAACAATATTAAGAAGGCCTAGGGCATGGGTTACACCACTCAACTTCATCACGGACCACAAGTAGCATGCATAGAAATGGTGATTTAGGGGATAAATTAGGGGAAGTTATCAAATGCACCCAACTACTCTCTCAAGCTAGAGGGATTACTTGACATCAAAACCATAACCTACTCTCGTGATTATGGGCAAGAAACAAGTGTTAAAACATCCTCACGATAACATGCAAATTCCCTTGACTAGAAATTCCTATTCTCATGGCAAATCAAGTCAATCAAGCATAAGGGAGCTTCCTCAAGTTCATCTCTCGATCCTTCGTTGAGGAGACTAGATAAATAATTCAAGCAATGGCCAATTACAAGAATTAACAATGAAACCTCTTAAACTCAACTAATTAACACCCCACAATTAACAAATTAGTACATGCAACAAGTGTTGGTGATTACATTGAGGGTTCACCCAAACCCTAGAAATTAGACTACTCACAATCCACGGAAGTTAAAGCAATTAAAGATTTCAAGGAATTCATGAACAAATTAAAGCTAAGAATTAAGTAGAATCTAACAATTAAACATGCAAAGAACAACCAAACAATTAATAAAAAGCAAGAACTAAAGATAGAAGAGAGAAAGAAAGAGTAAGAAAAATTACTAGAAGCTTCAATAATTGACTAACAATGGTGGAACTTGTCTTCTACAATGATTGGATTGAAAAACCTTCAAAACAAGAACTAAAATCTATGCTAATTTGAGGATTTTTGTGTTTCAAACTAAGAGGAGTATGAAAATCTGGAAAAATTGGGAACCCCTCTAAAATGGTCCAAAGGGGCTATTTATATTACCCCCTAAAATAAGAGGACGGTGAAAACAAGAAACGGGTAAACTGTAGGTCTGCACGGACGTGCTGAAGTTGGCACGTCCGTGCAGACCAAGGCAGAAACTCAGTTTAAGACGACCTGCTGCAGCACGGGCGTGCACCTTTGGCACGTCCGTGCTGCATCATCTGCACGGACGTGCAATATTTGGCACGTCCGTGCAGACCAAGGCAGAAACTCAGTTTAAGACGACCTGCTGCAGCACGGGCGTGCACCTTTCGCACGTCCGTGCTGCATCATCTGCACGGACGTGCAATATTTGGCACGTCCGTGCTGCCTCATAATCACGGAAGCACGTCTGTGCTGCATCATCTGCACGGACGTGCAATATTTGGCACGTCCGTGCAGGCCTTGGCAGAAAGATGGGTTCAGGTCTGCACTCCTGCACGGACGTGCAACATCTTGCACGGCCGTGCAGGGTCTTCTGGGCCCTTTTCTTCGTGTTTTCTTCTACGATGCTCTTGTACTTGGATTCTTTCCATCATTTCCTTGCTTCTAACCTCGGTTTGGTAACCATGGGCTTCATTTGGTCGTCTTTGGACCTAAAATCTCAACAAAAACACTAACAACCCGTGAAGCATAGGATACACAAAAATTGCATAATAATAGGGTAAAAGTGAACTAAAACACAAATTTGTTCAGGTAAACTAGGTTCAAATACGCCCTTAAACCGCATAAAATAGCAAGTTATCAAATCCCCCCAAG